ATCTACATTTTAAAAACAATAACAATCATTATATTCCCCAACTTTTTGAATGTTGACTGGTTGTCATGGCTGCCACATTGAATGGGGGGCACCTGTCTGTTATATCTTCTGTGTGACAACAAGACAGCGCTGGTGGAATAATGAGCCAATGCTCAGAGAGGGACATGAAGGGCTTTCCAGAGAGGAGCTGTCAACACACCTGACCTTGTGAAATCTCCAAAATGAGATACTCTGGGATTGTGACTATTAATGAATACTTGTGCAATTGAAGGTTACAAACTTTGGGCAGTGATTCTGAAAAATCCTGAAAGCATACAATAGATGCTACAGCTTGTCACAATTGAAAGGCAACTATATTTGGCATATTATTGCTAACTATTGCACAGAATGGCCATGTGAGCCGCGAGGGGATGGACTCGCCAAAGCAGTTTTTATAAAATGTAAAAGAATGATCAAATCATTTTTCAGGGATATTGGTATAATCATATGGCTTTATAGACTCACATGAGCTACCAGAGGTCATGGGTGACTTTGTTATTTGGCACTCAACCTATGCGCGAGGATGATCATTCAGTGTTTAATGCACAGCTTCTGGCAGTCATCCAGGATTCAAAGAACCATGGTTAAATTGTAACTGGGCTGTTCTTGCCTCTATACTTCACCATAGACTTTACAGAGGATTGACAGCCGAAGTCGCGTTATGCCATGTGAATAAAATTGACAATGTAGAAATAAAAAGCAAAGATTTAAAACGTCATACCAACATTATTAATAGTAAATATAGTCGCCCATTTTTTTTATTGTTTCGCAAATAATTCACTTTATCTGTTCAAATGAACTATTAAGTTACTAGTTGATCAATGAGAATCTAGGTCGACCATGATGCCATTGTCTAACTCAAATCAGTGACCAAAGTTGCCGCCCTAGTTTCCTTCTGTTTCACTTAACAAAACCAAAATATAGAAACAAGTGCAGAAGGATTATCTGCTTCAAAAAGATCAAAATGAGTGAATAGGCTAATGGCGATCAGGTACATACATTTCCAATATAAGCAGGCTTTCCCCCGTGCTCTTAAATGCATCTGCTGGCCCATTCAGTAGTATTCAGTTTACGTTGTTAAACGCAGTATGGTTCAAGCCAGTTACAAAACAGACAGGTTGTTCACAGCTCAATCACAGCTAGGAGTGTGACGATATATCGATATAACAATATATCTTGATACTTTCTCCCACGATCGATTATCAATATACATTTGCCAAGTATCGATTTAAAAAAATAAATAATAATAATATCAATATAAGACTATATTACATGTCTCAATTCCATTTATCATGAAATAAGGTGTATTTTTTCACTTAACATTTTTCTTTTATTTATGCCATAAATTGGCATATGGTATATTTCTGACCAATATATCGATAATCGTCATATTGTGATATAATCGTTATCGTGAGCTTTGTATCGCGTATCGTATCGTGAGGTACCCTGAGGTTCCCACCCCTAATCACAGCCCAGTTTTGTTAAATCAAATTTAATTGGACACGGAGGAGGATCCGGTTTCACTTGTGCTTTGTAAAAATACTCCATTTGACAAGCCCTGATCCCATCCCCGTACCTGAGGATGGCAAGCTCCTCCCTGCTCGCCGTGGATACATTCTCTGCCGCTGTGGCTTGTAGCTTTGTCAGCTCCTGCTCCATCTGTACACAGGCACACGATAATGGAAGATGAACAGAGCATACAAGACTATTTACAGCAAGAAATGGATGAATACGTAAAGAAAACATACAAACTTCTGTTCTCTTTTTCTGTGACACAAAGTAATCCAAAAGTAATGTTACTTTCTAACATTAGGTTAGGTAACTAAGGTTGCCATGATTTAAAATTTTGAAACGATTATTGTGAGAGAAATTATTATTATTACGTTATGAAAGAAAATCAACTCAGATTGATTTTGCTTGGAAACAATAAAATAAATATAATATGGATAAATATAGATTATCATCTCAAATTTGAGAGAATGCCAAGAGTGTGTGAAGCAGTAATCAGAGCAAAAGGTGTCTACTTGGAAGAACCTAGAATATAAGACATAATTTAAGTGTTTTCATACTTTTTGTTTTTGGGTGCATAATTCCACATGAGTTAATTCATAGTTTTGATGCCTTCAGTGTGAATCCTCAATTGTCCTAATCATGAAAATAATCGGCACACAGTTTAAATGACGTATGTGCAAGACCCAATCGACAGGCAGCCCAATGCCCTAGGCCCGGTCTTGTACCAAAGAAGGAGGGGAACATTGGTCCAGAGAAAAACAGGGACCTGATGTGAGGCATTCCCTGATTGGTTTACTGAGCCAGTTATCCCACGTAAATGCAGTCCCACTGTAGGTGCGCCTGTGAGTGTGAGAAGAAAAATTAGAAGTGTGTGTGGACTGCATCCTGCTGGAAAGGCCACAGGATAGCAGTATTATTCACTGAAGGCAGTGAGGCTGTTCGTACTGATGACAAATGAAAGAGTTAGCACAAACTGCAGTTTCTGTAGTTAAGGAGCGGCCACCAACCTGGCTGGCACAAACATTGGGCCTCATTCACGAACGGTTCTTAGGAACAGATTTGTACGTAAATCCTACTTACGCGGTTTTTACGAAGAAAGTGGCATTCACGAATATTTCTCGTAACCAGAATTTCTCTTGGGCAAGTACAAATCCTACGAGTCCTCAGGAGCACTCGTACGCATTCAGTGCCGACATGTTCACAGCCGGGGTTGTCCTCTTTGGTGAAGTTGAATAAAAATACAACATTCCAGTGATATGTCCGTCATATCGATGTATGTATTTATTTATTTGTAGTAATCTTTATTAGTAATCTTTATTTATATACCGCCTTTTTCACTGCAGATCTGGCCTACTTTTTAATTCATTTTGAAATGAAATGTGCCAACGCTTTATCAAATACATTGGAAATCTTGCCGTGTATTAGTGACCCCTTCCTATTTATAGGGGGCATTTCTTTATCCACGGGCCACAGAACAACGGCATATATACTGCTGCTGCAGGAGGTTACTGGGTCCGCGCTGAGTCTCTGCGCTGGTCTCTCCCATGGATCTATACGGGTCTGCACTGGTCTCTCCCATGGATCTATACGGGTCTGCACTGGTCTCTCCCATGGATCTATACGGGTCTGCACTGGTCTCTCCCATGGATCTATACGGGTCTGCACTGGTCTCTCCTATGGATCTATACGGGTTTGCACTGGTCTCTCCCATGGATCTAGACGGGTCTGCACTGGTCTCTCTCCATACGGGTCCGTGCTGCATGCTCCTGGATCCATACGGGTCCGCGCTGGTCTCTGCGCACCGGTCTCTCCAGTCTATGCGGTCTCTCCTATAGGTCCGCGCTGGTTTCTGTGTGCTGGTCACTCCAGTCTCTCCTCGGGTTTGCATTGGTCTCAGCGCTGGTCCGCGCTGGATCTCCTCCCAGGGTCCAAAATATTTTGAGATTGATCTCAAAACATTTTGAGATTCATCTTTAAAATAATACATAATATATTTTTAAATTAAGCTCATAACATTTTGAGATTAATCTCATCATATTCTTAGATTAATCTCATAATTTTGCTAGTTCGACTTTATTATCATAATATTTCGCCTTTTAAGTCAACATTTTATAACTTTAGTCTCAGTCTGGTAAAGGAAGAAAAAAGGGTGACTATTTTGCTCCGTGTAACTCTGCTTTAGGCCTGTTGCTGTTTCCTCTGCCGTCTGCACACGGCCCTGCAGTCCCTTATATGGGCATTAATGGGCGGTTACTTATGCTAAGTACCTATGCTAATGAAGCACCTGGCACGCGCGCTGTATTTACGAGGAAATGGGATTCATCAATCTGAGAGAACAGCTGCGAACAATTCAGCGGCTTACGAGTGCGTTGATGAATCCCACGTGGGGACTTCTTAGAAATCTACTTAAGGACAACTTGAGAAGAAAGTTGAGTAGTTTCTTACGAAGTTATTCGTGAATGAGGCCCATTGACTGCAGAACTGCCCTGACCTCACGTACCCAAACTCATCGAGGCATGCCAAAATGATGTATTTGTGTTTTTTTAAAGATCCTCAATATGGCAAATCCTGTTTTAGAATGAGATATACTTCACAAAAATCTGCGGTACATAAATGTTGTTCTCATAAATAACACATGTTTGTCTCAGAAAGTGTTTTGTCAACATGCTGTCTTCATCTTGTGCATACATGTTACTTATTTGGCTATTTGAGCCGAATGATGAAGCTACTCTTCTTTTTCACTTTTCTGTCTGAAAAAGCTGGTCAAGATGAGACAGATGTCAAAAATGCATGTGAAAACGATTTTGGGAACAGTTACCCCAGCTTTAGGTATAAGATATATACTAAATTAAATTACAGCGAAAGAGATGAGCAACAGTCCTACCTAATGGTTATCTAACATGGCACAGTGTAATGGGCTACATTCATGTTGTAGTTATTTTTCAGTATTTCAAAGAACAAAAAAACAAATTGAAATTTGTTTTTTTCCCCCAGATATTTATTTTATATTGACTTGATTAACAAAGCTACCACATTTTTGTCCTTTCTACTGATTAACATCATGCACACAGACATTATTTCACAATAGATATATACTGAAAAACAAACTGCAATGCTGAGATGTCATTGGCACACTGTCAAAAAAGGCAACAAATATTTCTGCTGCAAAGAGTGGGTACCTCATGATTCAACCACGAGAGTTAAATTTATTTCCATTATCTTCTATTACCTTTCTGAAAATATCCATTGGAATGAAAAAGCAGAAACATCTAAACTTTAGTGTACAGCTCAAGGTTTATTTTTCTGCTTTAGCGTTTCTTGTTCGTCACAAATAATACAAAGGGCTCACAGGCTTAAATTAACTACTTCTTCTGTACAATCAGTCTGCTTTTAAATGTTTAGGAGCTCACGGCAAGTGAGTGTGTTGTGGATGCTTTCGGTCCGTAAATAATATGAATTTGGATGTTTGCTATTAATATAAGAATACAAAATTCCCCCACCTCTATCTGCTACTAGGATTTGTATTATGTTACAAGATTGTCTGTAGCATCTGTCTTTTTCAAAGGCATGTCTGTTTTTTATGAGAGAAAATGTTTTGTGAGGGGGTATCCTATATTCATATTGGCAGTTGTAGCTTCAGACGTATCTCCACTTGAAACTCCCTGTGTGCGATAATCTCAGCAATTAGGGTGATTTCCGTCAGCATGGACGTTTCTGCTTGCATTTCCTTTTCTCGAGGCTCGTCCGCATTCTGAAGCAGTAATTAGCACGCCGGAAGACAGGTGGATTTCACGCGTCAGTCCCGGTTAGCGGAGAGGGGCTGATGTCTGCCCCGTAACCAGACAAAACAAAGAACACTGGAGGTCATACACGTCAGTGGAAACTTCCTCAGCTTGCTTTGAGGAGAATTTTGATCATGTCAAATATTTAAAAAATAAGTATCATATTTTTGGGTGGAAAATAGGTATGCAATTCATTATACTTAGCTTGTGATTCTCCTGCATATAGATCTTTAAATTCTATTGGGTGTTTAATCAAGTTTGCAGAGCTCAACCATGCAGATGATATGGACCAAAGAACCATATCACAAGTGCTCGGGGGATTCTTACAGTACTGCAGACTTAACAAGACTAAATTCACGTGGGCTACCCCGAAATCATCCCCATAGAACTCAATGTAAATTATATTTTTGGGGATTTTGTGGGGATTTTTTGTGCCACAAACTCTGCTCGTTTGGCACCCGCTCTAACTCTTGCTCTTGCTCCGCTCTGATCGGCAGCGTAGATAGGTCAGAGTGCAGGCTGAGCCCCTCTGTGCATGTGCACAAGAGACATACACACGTATTTGGCGAAATGCATCATGGGAGTTCGTCCACTGCGCAGAACCGGGAAGACCAGATGATGCCCAATTATAGGCGAGTTCAGCTGATCTTTTGGCGGCCATGCACTCTCTGGCACGTAATACCGGCACATGCGCCACTGAGCACAAACTATTCATTTGAATATCGCACCATCTGGGATTGCCGGGGGGCTTGCAAAGGACCCAGAGACGACCAGAAGCTGAAGCCCCAGACCTCAACCAGTACTACCACAGCTAGTAGTTTAAGTGTGTCTAATATGTTATGCGGCCCTCAAAAGAGGCCTCAAAATGAGTGAGTACTGAATTTGGGAGTGACTAGGAGCCTGCTGCCAGAGGAGCGCAGGGGCCATAAAGGCTCATAAGGTAAAAGCAGTTCAGAAAGATAAGAAAATTTACAAAACTTGAAATATTGTAAAATCTTACATAATGCTTCATTAATTAGCATTTTGATTACATTTTATTTGATTTATTTTCTCTCTCTAAAATATCTATTGCAATAATATACATGTAGAGAGGCCCGCAGAGCAGTGTGTACGGAACGTCAGCGTGGACGGGGCTAATGGAAGCATACTCACTGCGTGCAGCTGCTGGCGGAGAGCTCCACACTCCTCCTGGACTTTGCTCAGCTGGACCTGGGCACAATCATCAATGCCGGACACATGGGAAAATGCTCTTTGAACAAATATTATGGCCTGGACCTAGACCTCCATGTCTGTAGGCCTGGACCTTACCTCCATGTCTGAGCTGTAGGCCTGGCTCTTGTGCAGCAGGTCCTCCGCCTCCTTCACTCTTTTGCTAAGCTGAGGAGCGTATTCTGTGGAGGCCAACTCGCCATCGTATGACTCCAGGATCCCACGCATCCCATCACGCTCCTGAAACACAGTGAAAAAAATCAGCTTTATCATTTTCCATATTAAACACCACCTACAAGATTTACTTTGCCACTTCATGTTTTCAAATGTGAAATAGTTACTTAAACTATTAAGTAACTATATAGTTACTTAATAGTTTGATTACTTTCAAAAGACAACTTCCTACATCTTGGCATGTATAGTTTATCCCAACACCCTCTCACCCATTCAACACACAATATTACACAGAATACATTCAAAGAATCAATACACAGAAAACAATCAAATTTGCAGTACATACAGTATATGCAATACCCTACCATAGGGTATGACGCGCGCGCACACACACACGCAAACACAGTATGTAGAAGCTATGTAGTTGAACACATAAAATTAAGGACAAGATGAATGAGCTTCACGTTTGAATACAGAAATTACAGCATTACTCAAATATGTTTTGTCAACCTCATGAGGTTGAAAAATATACTGACTTCGTGCTACACTTTTTTTGTCAGACCAAACATTTCTTAAATGACCAAATATGACAAGGACCAAGCATATACAACCCATGTTGTGCTAAACTAATGTGGTTATTCCATACAGCTTAAGGGAGCCATCTCACTATGTGAAAACACATCACCATACGCTAATCCAATTGGACCGTGTGATTATCCAGGTAAGCATCCATAATGTGGTTAGGAGCTCAGACGGGTCATTCCACAGCTTCTATAGAGGAACCGGCCTAATACGCTGTTTGTGGTGCACGGCTCACATCGTGTGTCATGCCGCATTAGTCCCCATCCTCCTCAGTCCTCCTTCCTTCCTTCCTTCCTTCTTCAAAAACATACTTGTTTGGTGCTCCTATTTGTGGGGGGTGATGATGCCATGCTTGGGTAGAGAAGAGAGATGTCATGAAAAACTAGCCGCGCTCTGACTGTGAAAACTGGGCCACCTCAGACATCTTTTCGTGGCAATGGGAAACAACCCCTAATGAAACCCACTCACTGTTTACAAGAGATTTTTCAAACTAAGGGCAAAGAGTACTACTAAGAGAAGGTATGTCAAAGAGAGTGTGTATCACAGGTGTGAAAGGGGTTACAGGACTACATTTTTAAACAAAAGAAAAAAAAAATCTTGTAAAAAAGGATAAAGTCATAGTAGATAAACTACTACACTACTTCCAGCAATGACACTGTGACCCATCTCCAAATGTTGATGCGCTTGGTCAGGATCAGGATTTACGTTTTGCAACTGGGCAGGATTTCACTATTTAAGAAATTCAGTGCTGTGCAAACCGATTTCACAAAAAGATTCCCAACTTTACTGGAAAGTACCAGCCCTGAAGACAAACAGGAAGGTTTATAGGTAGATACTTTATTGATCCCTGGAGGAGAAATTCAGGTGTCCAGTAGCAGCAAAAATATAAAATTTATAATTCTAAAAAGCTAATAATAGTATTAAATCAGTAACAGCCCTTCAGGTCACAGTAGCCGAGGTGGTGTCGCTGCTTGGTTTCGGACAATTTTCTCTGCTCTAGTCCAATGTAAACTGCTAAATGCTTTCATTAGCATTTTTCAAAAAGTTAGCATTCCTCCAGTGGATTTTCACCTGATCTGCTTGGTTTGGACCATGAATCATCTCTGCTCTGATCTGGACCAGTGCAAATCCATGAACATTTATTATTTTTCTTGCTGTGCAAGAAAAATAACAATTGTTAGACACAAAACAATGGTTTCAGAGCTACTTAGGACTTGCTATTGTTTTCCCGCGCATTCAAAAGTAAAAATAAGTTAAGAGTCATGTGCGTTAAATGTATATACTGGGTGTGTAAGATATATTAAAATTCTCACAGCACATTTGTAGGAAATGTTGTTTTTGGCATCAACTGTTGGAATGTGTTTCGAGGTCAGTGCAGAGGAGGTGTGGGCAAGCGCTAAATGACATGCCTGCGAGCTACTCTCTGCCCATTATTGCGCAATGAAAATCACTTTATCTAAATCAAAAATCTGCCTGCCTTTTACTGATAAAAAGGAGTCTAATTTTAAACAGCAGCGGAGCACACCGAGATAAATCCATCAGCGCTACACTTTTATCATTTATTCTATTTCAAATGCTTAACGCTGACGGTTTGATCAAGTGTAAAATGGACCCAGGTTGTAATGGCCTAGAGAGTATGTCCTCTGCAGAGTAAACAGTGAGAGCAGAGCAGAATCCAGCCATCCAACTCACCCCTACACTTTTGGGACACCTCCAGCCCCTCAAAAGGTCAGTTTGCTTTTGTTGTTTTTATAGGGTGATGTTACAACAAGATGGAAGAGTCCAGTGTGCACCTAAAGAAGTTTTATTATGCAACTCGACCCACTTGTGACCAGTGTTTTAAATCAATTCACTTCAATGTATTCTTGCATAGCCCTAAATCACAACAGTAGTTATCTCAGAGGACTTGAATTCACCAATACAGATGTTGAATTCTCACTGGAGCACGTATTGCAAACTGAGGAAAGAGCGCGGACGCCCTTCACTTTGCACGTGCCTACCATTGGCGAATGTATTGACATTGTTTGTCAGGCTTGAACTCTCTGACCCGGCTTGGATTTGCCCCTGTGTACGGAGGTCTGAGGGCGCCGCAATTCGGATTAATTGGATTTAATAGAATATCTGCCTGTTTTTGGTCTGCTACATTGCATACAATATTGTCCCTCTCAGGCGATGTGTTTTTCTCCTGCTGTGTCTTCTCTCCACTCTTATCTCACATTCCTCGGCCAAGGCCATAATAACAAGTCCGGACTATCTACAACAACTCACACTATTCAGTCTCCAGCTCGGATCCCCTCCCCCCGCCTCCCTCTACCTATCCATCTCCCTCCCTCCCCTCCACTCCTCATTGTGTTTCCGACTCACCCCCTCCCTGACCCCGCCCCCCTCTGACAGCCACATTGGGCCGGCTGTAGGAGGCGCTCATCCCGAGAAAAAAATCCGTGGTTTATTCAAAGCACAATGTGTCTATCCAACTGTCTGTGTAATCTGTATGTTATTGCTCTCTGCTGTTTATTCTACTGTTTGTCGCATGGCGCCGTAAAGATGGCGCCGTGGCAAGAGCTCTGGTGTGTGTCGTCTTCTCTGTCTGGCGCACACCGGGGTAGTCTTGCACAGTTTTCCAATGTGGTTTTACTGCAAATGGCAAATAAATGAATCTGAATCTGAATCTGTAGTTAACAAGGCATATGTTCAGCCTATGCATCGGTGCATGCCTACAAGAAATGCAACGATAAACACACATAGAGCCATTTCTCCATAAGGAGCAGATGACCAATGTCCATAAATGTTGAGTTGAGTGACCTGGATCTCAACTCAACATTGCGATCTAGGACACTGTGGAGGACACTTAAGATGCCTCATAGAAGCAGAATTATCCTTCAACCACTAGATAGGAGCTATGCTAATTCTCCACACCTCTCACACCACTTTTCATGTTCATCCAAACGTTGTCTACAATATTTCACATTTTAACACTTGTGAAATATTAAATCCCCTAAATATGGATGTGGGCATTTCATATTTTTCTTATAAATTATATAGTCTTTCATAGAGCCTTCACTCATTCAAACCATTACACCGCAGGGACATGACTTTCATTGGATTCTGATGCAGTGAATAAAGAGGTTGCAATGAGATCATGTTAGTGTTTATAAATGTAATGTACCGTCACATTTGTGCAGCCAATGTAGCACTGTAGGCCAGTCATATCTCCCCATAAAGTTAATCTCTTCTTAGCATAGAGCATTGCATGAATCATAGCATTGCATGAATCATAGCATCTTGTTTGTTCTGAGAGTCGTTACATGCCTCCGAGCAGGAGAGTCTTGGTTTGCCCGCTCTTCTAAAAAGGACGAATTGGTGAAGTGCTGCACTGGTGGTTGTCTCCCCTCAGAATTATCCAGACCGGGGTGTTTGGTCACCCCGATGACCTAGGCCCTCAGTTTGGACGTGTGGCCAGCTCTGGAGAAGTTCCTGGTGATTTTGAACTTTTTCTTTCCTAATGAAGAAGGCCACTGTGCCATCGACCTGTCTGAAGGTCTAAATTCAGTTCCTTAGACCTCAGTTTCCTAGAACTCATAGCTTGACTTCTGTTATAAAAATCACTGCCAGCTGTGGGACCTTAAATCGATATATGTCACTTTCCAAATCAAGTTAAACCAGTAGAATTGACCAGCAGGGCTCCAGTCAAGTTGAACAAAAATCTCAAAAATAATCAGTGGAAACCGGTGTTTTGCATGTTTTGTAACAGGTGTGAATATTTGCAATGTAAGATATGTTTCAGTTTTGGAATCAGGGCTCCAGACTAACTTTTTTCATGACCGTCCCGAAAACCATTTGGCATCGTCCCGAAATGGATGTGAACCGTCCCGAATTTAATATGTATTTTCTAATACATTTTTTTAATTATACATTTATTATAAAAGTATTTTTATCATTGTTTTACACAATATAATGTGTAAATAAATGACTAACTTCACAATAATGAAATTTATTGGTAAAACATTCTTAAACAATAAATACAAATTGTGCAGGCAGACCCACTTAAATCAGAGGCCAAAACTACAGAAACAGATTCAATTCGCACAGACTCACATCATCAACTAAATAATGTAAAACACTTGTTAATGTTAAAGGAACTAGATGCAAGTCGGCCATTTTATACTCACGACTGCCACCTCAGGTCAAATCTTCTACATTAAGCTTGTGCATGACTTTCCACTCTGTATAGTCCCTTTAATGTAAAAACATTAACATTTCATACAAAAAAATAGAACTGCCCAACCGGCACAAAGACTGCGTATAACTAGTGGAAGAAGCTGATTAAAGCTACAAAAAAGCAAAACATTTCTTTCTACTTATGATCATCATCTGCAAATGTGGGCCTTCGTGCCCTGTAACTGCCCCTCCACCATGCTGTCACGGCTTTTGCGGAATCGTACTCATCAGGAGGAGGGCCATGGATGGAAATCTGAATCAGTGAG